GGTCCCTATGTATCAGGCAGACTGCGACGCCCTATCGATTGATGCCTCCCTATATAGCCACAGTGCCTCTAGGAATGGTGTCTCATCACAAGATACCTCGCGGACGACAGTCGAGATCTTTGTTCTGGGTCTGTTGGCACGCGCAACCAAACCGGAGCTTGCGGCCTCATCCGGGGATCTGATGGCTGCTTTTCTTCAGAAGATCAAGGCTACATCCAAACTCGGTCACTTGCTGTCGCTCTGGGTGGCACCTGTCCGTCACGTCACACTGAGAACCCTCGATGACCTGGAGTATATGTCGAACTACATTCTTCAGCCTTGCTTTGAGGTGGATGCAATCGGGTTCCGGTCTTTCATTGAGCAGTTCCCTCTCCAAAGTCTGCTAGCGGGTGACATGAGCGATGCGCCCATAGCTGAGTTCATGGTCCTGTTCGCTTCTTTACAGGTAGCAAAGAAGATTGGACTTGTTCACGAAGATCGTAAGTCTAAAACTCCCTGCCATGTCTACTGCCCCTGCTCATGTTGCGACTAGACTATATCGGTAAACCCAGCTCTACGGCTGCTGACGCCGACCGTGCGCTCGTGTTGAAGAGTGAGGTGATCGGACAATTTCTCTTCCACCACGATATGACTATCAGGATTGCAACCCTGTCGTTATTGATCAGTGCACCCTCCTCGACCAAAGCCGTCTCATCCGCTACAATGAAAGCCATTGTGAACGGATTGCCCTCTCTGCATTGTGAATCGGAATCTTATTCGAGAGGAGAGGTATTGAGCTTAGTCCGTAAGCTGGTCGTCCGTCTGAAAGGTGGAATCCTAGAGGACCAAGATCGCTTGAAGAGTGAGAAGGCCACTGCAAACAAGGACGCTCAGAAGAACTTCTTCGATGCCTCCGTCACTGGGAAATGCTTGAATGAGTACTTCAACTTTCTCAAAGCTGACTTGCGACCTACGGCCTCTTATCCACGCCACATCGCTGCGCTGAAAACATTTATCTTCTTCATCGAATCTGGACTTGATAGCCGGTACAGCGCCACAGATAATAACAAGACTCGTTGGATCTGCAACATGGACATCTTCAGTTCCACCTTGCTCAGGCTACTAGTTGATTTGTTGCTTGACCCATTCGAGGAAGTGCGCGCGACCTCTCTGTACCTCTTGAACTTTTTCCCCCGTGAGGTTCTTTTCAGCAGTGATTCGCAGCCACAGGGCGAGTCACAGACAGGGCAACCTCAAATCATTGATGGATTGTCAAAGGCGGAGCTGCTGGCAAGTAACACCAGCAGAGCTGATTACGCAGATACTGTTGCTCGCCTTTACCACATACTCTTCCGTGCTGCAGCGTCTGAGAGCTTGAACACTTCCACATCGTGGTGGGAAGCTAAATCAACGGTTGTCGAGTATCTCCTAGTAAAGCTGGAGCAGAAGCTTTCCTCCGCAGGCGGTCTGTTCAACTCTTCTATGCGTGATGCACCTCTGCACGGCTATATCTCTGCGCTCAGGTACCTTCTTCCTGCCTAATTCGATTAGTCCGTGCTAATCCGCCATCCAGATATATTGTCTCAACCTCCGATTTCTATTCCTTGGTGTCCGAAAAGTCCACGAACTATGATAAATGGAGGGCATTCCACCTTAGAATCGTGCACGTCTGTGACCGGATATGGGAAGAGGTTCGACCTGTCCTGTGCATCGACTCTCCAGAAGGTCATACAGACGACCCGATCGACGATTTAGGCGTCGGCCCCAAGGACATCCTCTCTTATTCTTGGCGCGCTCTTCGAGAATCGAGGTATGGGATTCTTTGATGACCCAAGACACATTGCTGACTCATACAGTCTTCTTCTCCACGCGACTCTTTCCAATAACTCGTATAGCCCTCCAGGTGACCATGGGCTCACGGAGCAACATTTTGATAAGCTGGGGACTCTTAGCTTCATTCAGCTCGCTGAGCTTCGGCATAGAGGTGCATTTTCAACGGTATCGCAGACGTTTGCTACTTGTTGCCAGCGCTGTGCCCAGTCGAGCGATCCAGCGATTTCCGGACTTTCCCACCGATTCTATCAGGTAAGAATCTGGTCTTCAGGTTACTTGACTTGGCGGATGCTCACATACTCTGTAGGAAGCCAAAAAAACCATCTTTGAATCGGCGTCTAAGCTCACCCGCCGTTCGGCTGGTCTTCCCGCACTGGTTGTCGGAATTCTTTCGTCGAAGCCTGGTGGGCCACTGTTTCAGCAGGTTATACAAGAGCTTCATGAAATTTCTCATCTGCCGGCAGAACAGGACAAGACTAGACAAGACACACCTTTGCCCCAGGTTCATGCGATGAACTGCCTCAAGGACATTTTCACGAACACCAAGCTTGGCCCCCATACAGAGCCCTTCATCATGCCTGCCCTACGTCTGTCGGCCGAGCGTCTTGGTTCTCCTATGTGAGTATCCCTTTTACCTCCCTAGCTCAGAAGATTCTGACCTTGGTAGATGGGCCCTCCGCAACTCTGGTCTCATGCTGTTCCGCGCTTTGTTGACACGCATGTGCCGCACCGGCACCGGCCTGGGTTTTGGTGGCGAATCCGGCTCTGAGCCCGGAGCTAGAGTTTCGTTCCAGAAGTACCCTGGCCTTCTCGAGCTTCTTCCCACCCTTCTCACTCCATCCGAAAAGAACAACTCTAGCGACACTGCAATGATCACTGAGCGTGTCTTCCCAGCCTTGGAGTTGATCGCTGAGAAGGTCCCCAATGTGACTGGTACCGATGACGAGGTTTTGCGTGGTCTTGTCCGCGAACAACTCAAGAGTCCGGTTTGGGGTATCAGAGAGCACGCGGCTCGAGTCTACGCATCATTGTTGAAGCGTGTGGACATTCTGACCAATATCAAGACCTTAATCGGCGTCGAGAGAGATAGCACAACGCAGGATTACCTTCATGGCGAAGCATTGTGCATCAAGTACTCTCTCCGCCGGTTCGCGGCCAGTTCAGTTGCCTTTTGGAATGGTATGACCCTTTGTGTATGCTTATGCGCTTTCTGCTGACGATGCGCAGAAACCATCGACCACGTGGGCTCTCTAGTACGGGATACTTTCGCCGCATCATTTCAGCTCGCAGAATCTCCATTCATCGCGACCACGCTTCTGGAGATTTTGAGTGACGTGGTTGAAAAGAGTATTGACTCGGGCTCTGAGCGTAAGGAGGTTCCCGACGTGAAATGTAAAGCATTGCTAATTTATTTTTCACTAGTCCGCTTGGTTTCTACCTTGGAGTCTCTGACCACTGAATATGCCTTTGAAGACATCTTGGGTTTCGTATTCGACACATCTCATCCATCCTGGAAGTCTCTGAGCACGACCCGAGCCTCGTCGCTCCTCCGTCGGGCGATCTCGTGGGTCACCGTCTTGCATATGCTCATTGGAGGAAGGGTCAATGATCTTGAGCCTTTCGTTCGTACTGTCTCGAATTTCGACCCCAATGCTGGTCAGTGGTTGTTGGAAAGGCTCCAGGAAATATTCGGGCCTAGAGAGCAGTATGGAAAAACGTTGATCGGCCTGTACTCCTCTGTCATTCTGGGAGACTATCCTGAGGAAGTCAAGGCAGTAGCCATTGCGTCCTTGGCATCGAAGTTGCAAGTTTTCTTCGACTGCCGCAATGAGGCTCTCCCTCAGATCGATCTTCCATGGGGAGCACTAGAAGGCCAACTTAAGCATGGCTCAAGCCAGCACATCTGGAACCGGGATAGGTCTGACGCCGAATTACAACTTCACGGCAGTCTCCTCGCTGCCAAGGCTATTGCTTCCAATAACCAGAGTTCTGAGAACGACATCAATGAGTGGGCCACTCGTCTTCGCTTCGCTATGCGAGAAGAAACGGTACGCACCTGACTGTTTATTATGTCTGTATCGTATGTGCTAACAGGTCACAGGAATTTACCACCCGTCTCGCTGCAGTATTATCCGTCTCAGCATTTGGCCGTATTCTGCGTCCTGCTGGAAAGGCCCCACTCGCTGATAAGGCGTTCTTGGATATTTATCTGGTCCTCTACGACATGTTGAACGATGACGACGAGGAGCTGCGTGACCTGGCTGCTCCGACTGCCTCATGGGTGCTGTCTTACTCCTCAGTATCCCCGTCCAAGGCAGTCGCCTTGTCTCCATCAAACGCCAGCGAGCTTCTTTCCGCGTTCATCGCTCAAAGCTACCACAACTCGCAGCAGCTTCGCAAGAGAGCTGTTGCCTATATGACTGGCTCCGAACCACGGATCAGCACTTCCATCGCTCAGTCTGTGCCTGTTTCCACCGTTCTTTCTAACCTCCGCAAGGAAAGCACAATTCTGTTCGAGGAAGAGAAGCAGAATCTGTTCATCGATGACGTTCGTGAAGTTGATCTGTGGACCAAGCAAATGATCCGGCTGACGGAAGCATCATATGATGATGCCTCCATCCAGGCAATCTTCGCCTGGGTATCGAATGGGTTGTCCTGCTTTGGGGATGTCTTTACGGACACCACCGAAAAGGACGGGCTGTTGGGCTGGGCCTCGAAGCCTGAAACATTCACTTTGGGAGTTCGACTTTTCAGCCTGGCGACCGTAGCAGTCTCCAAGGAGTCTGCTGCCTCCCGACTCTTGGGACAGGAGCGCGTGGCCGAAATGCAGGAGAAGCTTCAAGCTCTGCTTGCACACGGAAAGACATCCTTGGTACACGATGATTGGATTTCACGTATTCGGGCGGCATTGGAATCCTCATGACTACATGATGTTATTTAGAGGTATAAATAAAAGTGTGGCGGGGGAGGGTGTTTGGATAGTAATGATTCACTTGTACGCAAACTGAAGGTTCCACCATGATAGAACACAACTCAGCACAGAATTTACCACAACTGGTTTCAGCTCACTGCCATGGCAATGGGCATATCAGCCAGTGTTTACGTCCTCTTTCTACAACCAGCAAAAGCCCATATGTTCTCAGAGTTTCCTAAACAGTCCAACTACGCTTGACATAGCCTCTGTAGCGGTACGTGAAAGCATGAGAATTATTATCGCCCTCAATATGACTGAGACTTGAAGCAGGCCGTCCGTACACACGCGAAAGACAAGATGAACGGCAGCGTGGTGATCATCGCCATACTCCTCTCCCTCTTACTCTCCATCATCATCGGCGCCTACCTGTTCAGCGTGTGGTGGTCCAAGCATCTCCATGGCCGATCCGTGCGACGCCGCGAGGGTGCACGCGAGCTCGTCACCCTCACCCACTCCAACGCCAGGGCCAACGGGAGACGCTGGGTGGAAGTCCGCGTCAGGGAGCCGGGCAATCCTCGTCGTACGAATCCTCCTGGCCCGGCTCTGACGAAGTCCCAGCATACAGCTACGCAGAATCAGAATCCCCCCCGGCACGACCGCGAGCGCAACATGGACCACAGGGCGGAGACCCACAGGAACGATCACCAGTGGGACTCGCATGCCAACAACCATGGCAGAGTCGAGACCCAGAACAACGATAATGAGTGGGGTCCTCCTGCGAATGACAATCATGATAACGATGCTCGCCATTCGAGGGGTAACGCCCCTGATCCTGATCCTGCTCCGGCTCACCCATCCCCTCGGGCGTCAACACCTAAGAGCTGGCATCCGGATCAGGGACCGGCCCTGGCTCAGTCCTTACATGACATGTTTGGCGGTCGCGCGAGCGGGCATAAGAACTCGAGAGCAGCGAGCAGGGTTGGTTCGAATAAGCCTGATCATGGAGCTGATGGTGGTGAATGGGAAGGATATTCAAACAACAACCCAGCTGACGAGGCTCGGCCCCCCGGAGAAGTCAGTTGGTAAAGTGGTAACATTGGGGATGATGGCTGGATGAGATCTCGGAGGGAGGGATTCATCCGTTCTTGTAACGTAGTAGCTGAGAAGTAGCAGTGATGCTCGAAATAGTAAGCGATGACGGCGATGGTCTCTGCGGACGGCCCGAGTCGGTGACGTTGATCCCCGCGAATTGCATCTCCAGGCGGTGACTTTCCTGCCGCCGACTCCATCCAGTGTTCTCCTTCCCTCTCTCTCTCTTGCTCTCTCGCTTGTTTGTTCCACCATTCAATAGTCGCTCGTATCCTTCAATTTATTCCGTACCTGGCTTGAATTATCCGATTGTCTTACATAACTCAACTAGCATTCCATGACCCTCGTCTCCCTGCCTGTCCGCTGAGAACTAGCAAGGCTGCTCTGACCAGCCACCCCACCACCGGAACACCATGTGGAACGACGAGGATAACAACCCGTACGGCGCATTCGACACCGAGGCGCATCTGTCGGAATCTTTGCACTCGGCCAATCTCTCTCCTCGTATGAATTCTACGCTCTGCACTTTATAGCTACGCTCGTCGCTAACGTGCCTTAAGCTCTCTACGATCGCGAATACACCCCGCCCTCTCCCTCCAGCCGATCGTCCACCCAAGACCCTCCCGACTTCCTGTCGCAACAACAAGATTTGAGCGACGAAGATGACCACGGAGCGTACACGACCCAACGCACCGGCCAGGGATACATGCGCAAGAGCGTCTACGACAGCCGCATAGAGCAGATCTTATACGAGAACCCCGACATGCCGATCCTCATAACCGACGCCGGAAAGAACCACGAGGGCGGCGGCAGCTTCATCGTCTATACGATACGTACAGGAGTATGGCAAATGCGGTAACTTAGTACTGGAAATGATGCTAACGGCATGCAGGACCTTGAAGTCCGGAGACGATACTCGGAGTTCGCCTCGCTGCGCCAAACCCTTGTCAATCTTCATCCTACGCTGGTCGTTCCGCCCATTCCGGAGAAACACACCATGGCGGACTACGCGGCCAAGCCCACCAAGGCCAAGGAGGACACGGCGATCATCGATCTTCGGAAACGAATGCTGGCCGTGTTTCTGAACCGGTGTCGTCGGATGAAGGAAATTCGCGAAGACGGAGTCTGGTGGAGGTTCCTGGACCCCAATGTCAGCTGGGTAGGTTGCGCCAGCCGCTTGTGCACGCCCGCCCAATAGGTACTGATAACTGCTCAGAGCGAAGTCCTCCATTCCCATCCCGCATCTTCTGTCCCCAAGAACAACCTCAAAGCTCCTCCCCTCGATCCCGCCAACCCCACACCCGCTCATGCTTGGCTCCCGGTGCCCTCGGCCTCGGCGAAGCTCAAGTCGGCGTCCGGGACTGCGCCGTCCGGCACTCCGAACGATGCCCCCAGTCAAGAGGTGCTCGGCCGTTTCCCACCGGAGTCGCGGAAATTGAGCGAGAAGGAGCTGGATCCTTACTTCATCAATTTCGAAGCCTCCACCCGTGAGCTAGAACTGCTCCTTCAAGGCAACATTGAGAAGGTCAACCGCCGGACGCTCGCTCATTTGTCGTCCTTATCGGCGGACCTGATGGAGCTGGGGGCACGGTACAACGGTTTCTCCTTGTCAGAGCAATCCCCGACCGTCGCAGCTGCTATCGAACGGGTCGGCCAGGCGGCCGATACGTCTTATATTGAGACCGAGGAGCTTTCCGCCGCCTTGAGTGCAAGCTTTGCAGAGCCCATGCGGGAAAGCGCGCAGTTTGCCAGCGTGGTGCGCAGCGTTCTACGTTACCGCGTTCTTAAGAGGGTGCAAGAAGAGATGACTCGAGACGAATTGGCGAAGAAGAGAACATTGCTCGAGTCACTTGAGCGCAGTGAAATGGAAGCTCAACGAATCGAGCAGTACTTGAACCGCTCATCTCCTCAAGGCGCAACCACGAGACCGCAACGATCGCTGTCGGCCTCGTCAGCCGCCAGTGCTCCGGGCGGGCCCGAGAGCGAAGGACGTCCTGGCAGCCACGAGGACAATGCTTCGGTGGACTCAGACTTTCCCCCTACACATGGCGAGTCTATCAGCTCCCATCCCTCCGCCCCTCAAGCCGCCTCTCATCGCCGTCCAGACTTTGGCCCGTCCTCGCCCCCCGCACACCGCAAGACATCTAGTGGAACGTTTGTGGCCAACAAGATTTTTGGACGTATCAGTCATGCGGTGCATGGATTTGTGGATGTTGATCCAGAGAGGACTCGCCGAGATCAGATCGGAAAAACGAAAGAAAGTTTGCAACAGGTAAGGGAGACTGATTAGGTGGTTGAAAGAACCGTGACTGATGACGCGATAGCTGGAACAAGCTTTGACGGTGTCCGAAAAAGACGTGAAAGATGCAAGTGCCGGAGTACTGCAAGACTTGAAACGCTTCCAGAAAGATAAGGAGATGGACCTCCGCCGCTATATGGTAGGGCTCTTCTCGCCTGAACTAGGTTTGAATCATGCTGACGAGGATCGTGACAGGTCGCGTATGCGCGGTGTCACTTAGACTGGGCGCGCAAGAACTTGGAGACTTGGACGGAGGCCAAGGACGAGGTGGAGAAAATCGAAGCACGGTAGTAAGTAGTCGTTAATGGTTGTCGTGGTCTGCGGTTTGGCGCAGAGTTGAGAAAGGAAAGCGCTGGGCGTTGGTGTTTATGTTTTAGAAATGCTGGGAGCTACGCCATTCGGGATATTGATGGATCGCACTGCAATTATTAACATGTGCGATTGACTGCGTTGATGTCTTGACTGCAGATCTGTGATGTCTTTCTTGCATGTGAGGAGGAGTGGTTTTCGGCTCCACCGCTTCGGCAATTAATTTATTTCTCCGCCCTGATAGATCGTTCCCTCTTTAAAGTCCTCGTTGACCTTTGACGTAGCACCATAATTCCTGATGTACTGCGCCTATTGAAGTTAGCCTTGGCAGGGCGGGTCGGAGAATAGAGATCCAATCCATTTGGTGCGTGCAGAAATTGGTCTTGATAACCAATGGCGACTGAATCACTGACCATGACGGCAGATGGTGCTCTCCTGTAGGAGGATTTCTAATGCTTAGCATTGACTTGTCTTCACTAAGCAAGCTATAATGATAACGACAATCTAAACCTACTTGTTACACCATTTACCGGCCTTTTTCAGGGTCGGATCCACATATAGGCAGCAGCAGCAGCAGCAGCAGAAGCTGATAACTGCACCACTGCACCACTTACTAAGATCCAGACCCTGCGGTCCTGATCTGCACCCACCAACCCAGCATTGGCCACCAAATCAATGAACACAATGTGCTGTTAGCCATCCTGCGAGCTCAGTTCTTTCAGTTGCGCTCGACAGGATGAACGCTACCACACCCACAAGACCTCGCCTATTGAGCATGGGCTCGACGTACTCGGAATTCGACGAAGAAAGCAGCGGGAAAACATCACCACCATTACTTTCGCGCCACTCACTCCGTCGCATCATCCGCATCTCCGCTCTGTTGTCACTTTTCATATTCGTGCTATACATCCTACGCAACCACTTCCGTGCACAACCACCCAGCTCACTTTCAGACTCTACCGACACCGCGAACGACGACGAGAAAGCTAATGAAGCCCATGACGACCCAGTATCCCCGGTCTATTCTCCGACCAACCCAACAGAACTCCACATCCACGACCCCAGCATCATTATCACTTATTCTCACCCCGAACCCCAGCCAGATCAAAACTCCAACCCCAAGCCAAACGCAGCCCACGAGGCCCGCACAGCACGTCCCGTGAAGACATACTACGCCTACGGCTCCGGCCCGCACATCCCCATTCACACCGCGCCGGCCCTCTCCGGCCCCTGGACCAAGATCGGCACCGTCCTAACCACAGACAGCGTCCTCCCCATCGGCGACCGAAAAGCGCCCTGGGCGCCCACGGTCGTCGCCCACAATGGCACGTACTACTGCTACTACGCAACAAGCCACAGCGGCTGCCGCCGCAGTGCAATCGGCGTAGCTACCTCGTCGGACCCGGGACCCGGGGGATGGGTGGATCACGGAGTCATCATCCGGTCCGGCATAGGGACAGGGTCGGGATTGTACCCGATGGATCGCGCGAATGCGATCGACGTGAGTGTTATAATCACTTCTCTCCCACCGGAAGAGGAGGAAACTCAAAAAGAAGAAGAAGAAAAAGTGGGAGACGAAACGCATCCCCACCTCTTATTCTCTCGAGAAGAAATCCCCCAGATTGAAGGCGAGGGAAAGGGCCGGGGAGAAGACCCCAACCCCATCTCAGCCTCTCCCTCTAGCCCCAAGCCAACGGAGGAAAAAGGCTACCTGACCTTCGGCTCCTTCTGGACAGGGATCTGGCAGATTCCGCTCGCCCCCGACCTTCTGGTGAGTGACTACACGGGCAACCGCGAGGTGCGGCACCTCGCCCACGAGCCGCGGGCGGTGCACCCGCCCAAACCCAAGTCCAATGGGATCTGCGGCGACCCCACGGGGATGCATCCCGTCGAGGGCCCGTTTATCTCCTACCGCGCGCCGTGGTTTTATCTGTGGTTTAGTTGGGGCAAGTGCTGTGGGTTTAAGCCGGAGCGGTTGCCGAGGAAGGGGATGGAGTATGTGTGCCCTCTTCCCTTTTTTTTCCCCTTGCTCTTGCTTGAAGCCGTGATGGGATAGACTCTCGCGCACTTGCGTATACGTATAAAAGCTGTGCTAATCTGCCGCGCAATGTAGGTATAGTATCCGGGTCGGCCGCTCGAGGAGTCCCCGCGGCCCGTTCGTGGATAAGCAAGGCCGGGGCCTGGTGGAGGGCGGCGGGGAGGTTGTGTATGGGTCGAATGGGGAGGTGTATGCGCCTGGGGGCCAGGGGGTCCTGGTTCATCGTCGATACGATGATGTTCTCGGGGTGGAGGTGGAGGAGGATGTGCTTTATTATCATTATCGTGAGTTTTTGCTCTGATTCTTTTCCCATGGATTTGCTGGGGCTTGATGCTGACTTTTATTTGTGGGTGGTAGTGAATACCTCGGTGGGGTATGAGTTTCATGTATGTTTCTCTTTTCCTCTCTTTCTCTTCTCTTCTGTGATTTGGTGTCTATTGTGCTAGGGCATTTATAGCTAACTTGATGGTTTGTGGATAGGAAGCGCGACTGGGTTATAATGTCCTGGATTATGTGGATGGCTGGCCGGTTCCGGGATAGAGGATTTGGGTGTTGTAGAGGGTGTGATGGCAGCCTGGTGCTGGCTTTTTGGACTTCTTAGCTTGGCTTGGCTTGGTAGATTGTCTTCTGGCGAGATAGACTCTAGCTTTTCTTCGCAGAAATGAAATGATAACACGAACACTCCTAATAGAGCTGTAATATAGGTATAGTATATGGCCGGCACCGAACCTACAATCGCCCGCAGAGCAACCCAGCCTCGGAAGCAGTCTGGCATTGGGTGACTAACCACCGTCGTCCCCATCCAGGCCATACGTGGTGTTGCTGGGGGGAGGATGCAGTAGCAGATCCTAAGTTATACGGGCATTGGGGCTTCTTTTTGCAACCCTCTTACGGTATGATCCAGCGCTCGATGGATGTCTTTGCTGCCAATTAGTGTAGTTGTGTCGCATAGTTGATCATCAGACTTTGATGAAGGACTGTGGAAGTGGCAGCTGACGTTGATGGTAACCTCCATGAGATCGGTGGAGGTCATTTCGAGAATCGCCACGGATCCGGCTGAGCCTTGCACGCTAGGAGATCCCAATCATGTAAGGCACATTACGCACATGATATAATTTCGCGGAGCAGTCGTAACAATCGCTCAAAGTATGCGGATATCTGGAATGGACAACCCGCTCATACCAGTGATGAGCAAACAATCTGGAGATAAAGAGATAAAGGAGAGGTGCCATCCTTAGTAGCATCTTGTACTAGGCCCGGCCAGCTAGTCTACTACCGATTGTGCTGGACACTGTAGCCAATGACAACCTGGGCAAGATCTGGAGATCTCGGTAAGTAAGGTACAAAGTAAGGTGGATGATGCATGCCAGTGGACTTAAATGCAGTCGTCAAGCTGATTGGCGGGTTTTGACTGTAAGATTGGACCGGTCTATCTATGCCTTGGGGTCCGGAGCGATTAACAGCTGTGCGACCAGGCCATGTGTGATTGATCTGATTTGATTGATTTGATCGTGTTGCGATGGTACTGTATAGTTCAGTGCATGTTTGTTTGCGCTGGGGTTCTCTTGTTAACGGGGGTGCTTTGGAGTCTTTGAGGTGCTTCTGGAGGTTTTCAGGCTGCTTAGTCTCTGATAGTTCAAGCTTTTATTAGAAGTAAAACCAATGTGAGAGGTGCAGGGGACTGGCGTCTAGAGTAAAGGCATTGTCAGTCAACACTTAGAGCTTAGATAAACACTAAGAGAGAACAGTGCTGCTCAAGGTGCTGAGTAGGTGAAGGTATATGCACAGTCCCTAGCTGGGAACATACAAAGATATAATTAGAAGCAATTCTAAGAGAAGAGAGAAAAGTGAAATAGTGAATTGAAAGTAAGAAACAGCAAAAAAAAAGCAAATTTAAGTCCCTGTCTGATATTCTACATGTGTTCTAACGGTGTGCAATTAGTTACCTTTGTAGTCACCGTATGTACTCGCAGTCAGTGACTAAACCAAATTTCTCCTGTTGATTGAACGGAGGCCGGAATTTCTTTTCAACAGCGAATCCACCTTCTTTCCTTCCCTTTCATCGCGTTTCCACCATCCACCGTCCACCGTCCACCGTCCACCGTTCACCATAATTCCACGGCTTCCACTGCCCTCCACGGACCCTTTCCTTCCCCCTCCATTCTAGTCTAAAAGTAACTTAATTTCTTGCTTCGGATTCGACCATATCACCACACCCCTACACCCCTACCTCCCTCCCTCTCTCCCTCCCTTCCTCTTACCTACACCATACATATTTCGATCTTTCTCCGACAGGTTCCATTTTGAAATCCACCCAGAACCCACATCCACTCCCCCTCCCCCAATTATCGTGCTACCTCGAGCTGCCACGAGACGTGCGCAGCTCACCGTCACGACGTCTTCCACAAAGCGCCGTAAGGTAGCAGAGCCTCGCAGACCAGGAACACTTCCGGGTTTGTCGTTCGCCTCGCAGGCCGGAAGACGTCACGGTCAACCTCCTAGCTCCGACCGCTCCTCCAACTCCCACTCTTCCTCCTCGGCCTTGCCTCATCGCCGCTCCTCGCCCACCTCCCCTTCGAACCGCAGTCAGAGTTCATCGACCTCACCGCCTCCCCGCTACATTCCCGCCCATCTGCAGGACGAAGTCTTGGGAACCAGATCTCATTCCTCCGCTCCTCCCTCCCCGACCCCGGATCCCTCTGGTAGTGCCGTCGACTACCCCTCGGCCGCCTGCGCTGGGTTGACTCTACACAGCGATCCCGCGACCGATATGTCGGGCTCGGACGAAAAGCTTCACGCTCGCGGAGCGTCAGACACTGAACAGGATGTGGTGATGGAACAGGTTCCCGCCTCGAAGGATAGTCAACCTCAGTCCGACCAGCCGGATGCGATGGACACCTCTGCATCGGGAGACGACAATTCCACTGGCAACGAGGACAGCTCCATTTCGGACAATGTATATCCTACTCCGTCTAGCATGTCCACCTATACGGCTTCCACCGAGACACGAGCCCACTCAAAAGCGGAGGCTTCCGTCGCATCCGCTGAGCCTCCTTCCTTTGATGACCAGGTGGCGCAAGTGACCCGGTTCATGATGCAACCTATGCAGAGGAAGCAGAAAGGATATGTGGTGTCCATGTCGTGGTTGAAGCGCGTGTTTGCGCGAAGCTCCACCCATGCAGACCAGGCGGACAAGACCGCTGCCGAAGGGGAGATCGGCCCGGTCGACAATTCCGATATCGTCCTGGTCACTGACCCCGCCAACACAGGCTTCAAGGACGAAAATGGAGAGCCGTTTGTCCCCCTGCGACCGGGCTTGCAGCTTGGAGAGGACTATGAGATCGTGCCCCAGGGAGGTTGGGACCTGATCATGCAGTGGTACGGCCTTGCCGAGCAGTCTCCCGCCATCGTCCGCTACGCTCACAACACCGCACCCCCGGGCGAAGGCGAGAACATTCAATACGAGATCAACCCTCCGATCTTCACGATTCTGAAGCTCACGAACCCGTCCGGTGGAACCACCCCCAAGTCACTCAAGGAGAGGAACATGCTGCCTGTGCGACATCTTGCCAGTAGGCACACAAGTTTCCAAAAATGGCTGAAGCAAGTAAAGAACCTTGCAAGAATTGAAATGTCGACCAAGGTTCGCGTCTGGAGAATCCTGGATGGTCTCGGAAGTGCCACCACCTCCGCTGCGGTCACTCCAGCTGCCTCTCGGACTGCCTCGCCAGCGCCTTCCGCATCAACTGCGCCCCACGCTGGGGGCAGTCTTGTGCTTGATCTCAACACCTTTCTCTCCCTTTCCGAAGGCTCGCAGCGGGAGTTGCTGGAAGATGCTACTGATCAAACTACTAACCCCAAATACAACGGTCGCATGCCGTTGGATCTTGTCGGGCTGGGCGGCAGTGATATCGTGGTACTCGAAGAGAGACTTCCTGGGAAACAGGGCGACTGGGTATCCGAAGCTTCTAAACAGACTCTGAACCGCCTGGGGGTGCCAACCGGGAACCTCAAGACCGAGGTTTCTACCAAGGCGAAGACTAAGAGCCCTGCTACTAGTGGGCGCTCATCGCCAGTCCCAGAGCCTGCCAGGGGAAGGCGCAAGGATGGCAAACCCCGTGGCAATACGGGTCTGAGTAACCTTGGCAACACATGCTACATGAACTCTGCCCTGCAGTGTGTCCGTAGCGTGGAGGAACTGACTTACTATTTCTTGAGTATGTATTTCGCGCTCACCGGGCTGGTCCGACCTTAAGTATCTGTACTAACAGGTGGGTTTTAGATGAGGTGTACAAGAAAGATCTCAACCCTAGCAACCCCTTGGCCCACAATGGTGATGTGGCTAAGGCCTATGCCAACCTGCTCCGCCAAATCTACGACGAGGCAGGTCAATCATCTTTTGCGCCTAGGCAACTGAAACAAACTATCGGCCGCTATGGTCCCGCATTCTCCGGTTACGGACAGCAGGACTCACAGGAGTTCCTTCTGTTCCTTCTTGATGGTCTTCAGGAAGACCTGAACCGAATCCAGAAGAAGCCCTATATCGAAAAGCCAGACTCCACGGATGACATGGTCCACGACAAAGCGAAATTGAAGGAGTTTGCCGATAAATGCTGGGAAATTTACAAGGCTCGCAACGACTCCGTGGTCACGGATCTTTTCGCTGGCATGTACAAGTCTACTCTCGTTTGTCCCGCTTGTGACAAGGTCAGCATTATCTTCGACCCGTTCAACAATCTTACCCTTCAGCTTCCGATTGAAAATCTGTGGAGCAAGGAGCTTTTCTACTTCCCTTTAAATAAGAAGCCGGTCATTGTGGATGTGGAGATCGACAAGCACGCCAGCATCAAGTCTCTCAAGGAGTTGGTCGCCAAGAAGATGGGTTCTGATCCTCAACGCCTAGTCATGGCTGAGATCTACAAGCACAAGTTCTACAAGATGTTTGACAACGCAAACTCTATCGCCGAATGCCAGATCAGCAATAACGACGATATTGCCATTTATGAGGTGGAGTCTGTTCCGACCAACTACAACCCAGACAAACCCCAGAAGAGTTACTTCTCTTTCAATCGGTCAGAACATGAGGCGATTCCGGATATTGATTCTCCAAGGGCGGATCGACTGCTTGTGCCTATCTTCAATCGTTATGAGAAGCCAAGGTCGAACAACCCGAAGAACACCCTGCGGCCCCTGTTCGGTGTGCCTTCCTATGTTGTCATCAATAGGGAGGAGCTCAGCGACTACGATGCTATCTTCCGGAAGGTTCTCGCTCAGGTAGCTTCCATGACAACGCGCGATTTCCTCAACGAAGTTCATGATACCGAGTCCAACCAGGAAGACTCAGATACTGTTGTCATGAACGATGATGACGCGGAATCAGCTGATTCCAAGATCAAGACGTCTTCAGTCGACGGGGAAGATGGGATTGTTGATGTTTCGATGCGCGACGCAGAAGACACTCAAGAAGATGCTCCAGCTCGCCGTGAGGGTGGCATTCCTTCGAACCTTCGTGGCTTGTTTGAAATGAAGATCAT